CGAGTTGAACTCAACACAAGTCCATACAGTTTTCATTAGCAATTTATAGACATAGTTTGCCACTGTTTTCTTCCATAATGCAAGCTGCATTGTTTTCTCTGGAAAACAATGCTTCCTTGCTTAAAGATGGAGTCAATCAAAGTTTAGTCCAGCCCCCTTTCCACTGCGCATGCCCAGTTTTTGATGAAGGCTGATGGTTGACTTGGAGAGTTCTTGGTGCTCGTTCTTGACCATTCTGAGCTTGGGACTAACTATCTAAGGGTGGGATTTGGATTCTCCTCCTGTACAACTAGAAGATGCATTTCAGGTAAGCCCAACACTCTTTCTCAGTTGTACGGGTTGGAGAATCCAAAGCGTGGGACGTACCCAAGCTAATTGTCCTGAGGGTGGGCCAACTCCTTGTCCTGAGCCCCCATCTCCATGTGAACTCTTTGTAGCACTCTTCTTCCAAAGGATGCTTCCACTGATGCAAATGTATCCAGTTTATAATTTCTGATGAATGGAGATGGTGATGACCATGTTGCTGCCCTACAGATCTCTTCAATCAAGGCCTGTGTGTTCCATGCCACTGATGTGGTTTCACTCCTGGTTGAATGTGCCGTTATGTTACCCGGCAATTGCAATGAGTGGCTTTCATAAGCTTTTGTGATACATGTCTTGATCCATCTGCCTATGGTAGATGGTGAAACCCTTTATCCCAACGAACTCGGTCTAAATGAAACGAACAACGTTTTTGTAATGGGCCTTGTTCTCTTAATATAAATGCATATAGCTCTCCTAAGATCCAAGGAGTGCCGCTTCCTTTCTAGGCTATGGACTGGTTCTGGGCAGAAGTCTGGTAGTACTAACTCTTGTGCTCTATGGAACATAGAATTGATCTTTGGGATAAAGGTCAGGTCTAATCTTAATACTACCCTATTCGGGTGAACTATACAGAGATCCTCCCTCACGGATAATGCTGCCAACTCTGAAATTATTATGGCTGATGTAATGGCTATTAGGAAGGCCACCTTAAGGGTGAGTGAAGGTAGTCCTACTGACCTCAGCGGTTCAAAGGGCTCAGTCATGAGTGCCCTTAGCACCCTTGTCAAGTCCCAAGTAGGGTACCTGTGTATCACTGGTGGCTTTAGATTGGTTGCTCCCCTGATGAACTTGCAGATTAGGGGGTGTTGTGAGAGGGACTCCAACGTCCCGCAACCCAAAGCTATTGCTGCTACCTGCCTCCTTAAGGTGTTAGGGATTAAACCCTTCTCCAGGCCTTCCTGGAGAAAATCCAGCACTTGAGTAACTAGCATTGTGGTTGGATCTATTTGTTTCTTGGGACACCAGGTTCCAAATGCTCTCCAAGTAGCATCATAAATTATGTTGGTTGATAGTCTCCTGGATGCCTGGAGTATCTGTATTACCTTGTCTGAGCACTCTAAACACTTTACCGTGGTCCTCTCAAGTGCCATATGGTTAGTTGCAGCCATTGTGGCTCTGCATGTTGTATGGCTCCCTGACTCAGTTCTACCTTGCCTAGGGGAATTCTCCATGGTCTGGATACCGACAGATCTACCAGATCCACATACCATGACCTCCTGGGCTAGTGAGGTGCTACCATTAAGATCTCCGCCCCCTCTTCTATCACTTTCTTGATTACCCTTGGTATCAAGGGGAATGGGGGGAATGCGTAGAGCAAACCCCTTGGCCATGTTCCTTGGAGTGCATTGGTTCCTTCCGCTCCTTGTGTTGGGAATCTCGAGTAAAATCTCGGAAGTTGTGCATTTGCTGGTGTCGCAAACAGGTCCAGGACTGCTCTCCCGAATCTGTGACAGTTCCCTGAACAGGTCCAGGTGTAGGTGCCACTCTGAGAGGTTGACCATTGTTCTGCTGAGCCAATCTGCCTGAAAGTTTTCCACTCCCGATGTGTGTTCTGCCCTGATCAATAGAAGGTGCGTCTCCACCCAGCGGCCCAATCACTCTGCTTCTTGCATGAGCACTAGGGAGTGAGTACACCCCTGCCGGTTGATATGAGCCTTGGCGGTCATGTTATCGGTCAGAATCAACACATGCTGTCCCACTATCACTGACCTGAAGGCCCTTAGAGCCAGGTGAGATGCCCTGAACTCCAACCAGTTGATGTTGTTCTTGAGGTCTGACTGAGACCACTGACCCTGTGTAATCTGGCTCTGACAGTGGGCTCCCCAGCCTACTAAACTTGCATCTGTTGTGATAGTCAGTCAGGTGGGTTCCTTGAACCCACATCCCCTCGTCACTGTGGGTGATCTCCACCACTGGAGTGACTGCTTCACTCTGGGGGGGGACTCATACCTTGGTTCCTGTATTGCCCTTGCCTGTTCTCTGGTAAGGTAATAGGAACCACTGCAATGTCCTTGCGTGCAGCCTGGCCCAAGGTACTATCAAGATGCACGATATCATCTTCCCTAGTATTTGTGACAGCAAGTCCAGGGACACCCCCAGAGCTGTGCTCACTTGATTTATTGATGACCTTATGCGGTCCTGCCTTTCCTGTGACAGGTAAACCTCACAGGAGTTGGTGTCTATTACAGGTCCTAAGTGTTGTAATCGCCTGGTTGGTTCTAAGTGGCTCTTTTCAAAATTCACTGAAAAGCCATGCTCTTGTAATGTCTGTATCGTGGTTTCTAGATCGCTCTGTGCTCTTAGAGTCGATGTTGACTGTATTAATATGTCATCTAAGTAGCATTGGACCTGTATGGGCTTTGTCCTGAGGAAGGCTGCTACTGCTGCCAGGACCTTGGTGAAAGTCCTTGGCGCTGAGGACAGGCCGAATGGTAGAGCCCTGTACTGGTAGTGTCTCCCTGCGGAACAAAACTGCAGGAACTTCCGATGCCTCCTGGCAATAGGTATGTGTAGGTAAGCATCTGTGAGGTCTACTGATGTCAGGACATCTCCCTCCCCTATGCTCCCTAGTATAGCTTGCAGGGACTGCATCTTGAATCTCCTGTATACTATATGCCTGTTTAGTAATTTGAGATCCAAAATTGGTCTCCACCCCACCCACCCCCGACGCCTTCTGCACAACAAACAGGTTTGAATAGAACCTTTGTCCCTGTTTGTTCTCTGGTACCACTTGTACCGCCCAAATGTCCAGCAGATGTTGAACTGCTGTTTCCATAATTACCCTTCTGGTTCTGTCCCTTGGTGTTGGGCATCTTCTGAATGAGCTCGGGGGTATGGAGATGAATTCCAGAACTAGGCCTTTTCTTAATGTGTCTAGGATCCGCTTGTCCATTGACGTCGACTCCCATCAGTTGGTGAATAGGCCCAGCCTCCCGCCGATGGGTGCATTGTTCCGGCCGTCACTTTGTATGCTGGAGGGCCCTACCAGTCGAACTCTGGAAGGGGCGCCTTCCCTGGGACCGTTGTCCACTCCTATCTCTAAATCCTGACCTATCTGGATGTCTAGTAAGGGTCTGTGTGTACTGTCTCTGTGTATATGGGGAGTGGCTGAAGCCACCCCCCGAGATAGGAAAGGGCTGTTGCTGTGTATATGGAGAAGGTCGCCTATCTGCCTGACCAAATTTCCTGGGTAAGACCTTCCTCTTGTCCTTGGTTTCAATCAGTAATGGCTCAATGGCCTCCCTGAAAAGTTTGTCCCCTTTAACTGGAGCTGATGCCAGTTTCCATTTATGTTTCAGATCTGCCTGCCAATGGTGCAGCCAAACAAGTCGCCTTGCAGCCACTGAAGCTGCGATGGCCTTAGTTGCATATTTGACCCCATTAAGTGTGGTGTCTGTTATGAACTCTGTTGCAGCAGTTCTTTTGTTCAAATCCTGTTGCAATCAAAGATCTCCAGGTGGCATCCTTTCCTGTTCAATCCATATCAAGACTGCTCTGCTGAAAAATGATGCCGTGGACATTGCCTTTACCGCCCATGCCGTGGCCTGGTGAACTTTTTGTAGGGTCTGTTCTGTTTTCTTATCCTCCCCTTTTAGACCATCCTCAACTTCATTAGCCAACACTGTAGCAGATGTGGAGGCTGCCACAGGGCTGTCTATCGTGGGAACTGGGAATAGGTTCGTTAGTTCCGCATTATAAAATTTCCTCTCATTCCCCTTTGGCATTGGGAAAATAACTGGTCTGTCCAACTGACCTTCCACCCCTTCCCTGAACAATTCAGGTGAAGGTATGGATTCACTTTCAACCTTGGTTCTAGCAAAAAATCTATCTTTGGGATCAGATGGTTCTAACTCAGACCCTTCTGTCCCTGTGATTCTCCCCAGGCCTGTTGCTATCTTCGCCTTCCCCAGCAGCATCTTAAACAGCTGGTGACGAAATAGACCTGTGAACATTGGAGTTTCTGGTTCATTAATTTCCTGAGAAAGCTGACTCCCCATATTCTTCCTCTCTTGAAACAGAGGCCTCACTGTGAGTGTCTGATCTACTGGAACTGTCTCCCTGGAAGCCCAGTTCCTCCCTTACTCCTCCTGCTCAAGTAGAATGATGATGAGCATCCTGTCTCCTTTCATTATGTATTAGGCTGGGTCTGTTACTCTGACTGTCCCTGAATTCTGCCATCATTTCTTTCATCATAGCCCTCATTTCCTCTTTAAAGGACTGTTCCCTGACTTCTTTTTTAAATAAATTTTATTGGTTTTAAAAAAAACATAACATAAAACATTTTTTTTGAAAGCAGCATAATCCCGGGTTACATCTCTTCGTACAGACACAAATTCAAGTTCATGCTCATTTTTATATTCCATTCCATATCTTATTATTATTCTACATTTTCTACATAGCTTTTCCCCTCTTTTAACTTTCTTAATTTTATTTTATTTATTTCATCTCAATTCAAATCATTGTACTTATATTCTTTGTCTGTCCTGTTTCAACTGTCTACTATCTCTTCTCATTAAACAAAATTTCTCCTGTAATCACTGATTGGAGTATGACGCCTTTATATCTTTCCCCTAAAATTATAACACTTAATATAATACATAACTTCCATTCAGATTCTGCTTGGTACATTCTAAAACTACACACTGTATTCTTAAAAAAAAGAAAAAATTATAAATGTATAATATAATTAAAATAAAAATCCATCCCAATTCAATTCTATCATTAATATTAATATTCATTTAAATCTTAACATTTTGCACATTACTTTTCAGATAAGTATCATACTTCTGTGGAAACAATTATAAGCTTTCCATAGTTAATTCCCCCCGTCTTCACTTATATTTTATAAAACATTGACTAATTAAAATGTTCCCGTTCCTTCCTGATTCAATTTTCTCATTTATTTTATTTCATTTATTTTATTCACAAACATTTCACCAATCCATACATCCCTCTTTTTAATCATATGTTATTTCCAATTTTCTAAAATTATTTCTATTACAAATATAACAAAACAATCTTATGTACCTTCACAGAATCCCTTTTTCACTTAGATTTTCACCCATTATCTCTAAATAGGTCCTGTTTCTTTACCTCTTGCTCCAGACTTTTGTAACTTCTCTTCCTTTCCTTCTTCCCACTCTTCTTCTCTCTCCCCTTTTTACCCCCCTGTCTCTCCACCTCCATTTCTCTCTTCTGTATTCCCCTTTTCTGTTGCTTTCCAACATTATATCCACTTTTCAAATTATTTTTCCCTTCTTTGGTTGTTTTTTTAAGTCTTAAATTCTCCGTACTCTTTTCCCCCTTTCCCCCTTCTTCCCCACATAGAGTTACTTGTGCATTAAAGATGGCTTCTTCTTTGTCCCAGTCTTCTTGTTTTGCAGTCTTTTCTTTTTGTTTCTCGTAGTTGCAGATCTCCATTTCTAAGAATTGAAAAGCGAAGCCAAAAAAGCCCTTCTCGTCTTGTGCATCTTCTTTGTATTTTTTTAAGTTCCATTTTCAATTCATCCAGAAATGATGCCATTGTAAAAAAATGTAAACAACCACCCAATTGATTTAGTCATTCAAATATAATAACCAAAAATCCAAAAGTCACCAAGCAATCCAAATACACACAGGCTGTTTCTTTTTACACTTTCACTTTCTCTTCCTGGGGTTACTATTTAGTTGCAAAGTTTCAGTTAAAATGTATCTTTTAGAAGTCTTGTTGAAATTTTACTTTAGATTCTTTTGAATTCCAGGCAGTCTCCTCCCTCCAGATCCTGCCCTTATTCTTTTCCTCTCCCTTCCTGCTTATAGAAAAAAAAGTTTTTAATATCCAGAAATCTTTATTGTCCCTTTGGTATTTAGTTATATTTTCAGCTTAATTGCCTATTAATGCCAAAGCGGATTTTTCCGATTTCTTATTAAGATCTCTTAGTTGTCAATGTAAGGAAGAAGAGGAAAAAAAACTTTCCCTTTTCACTTTCTTTCACTGCTTCCAACTCTTCTTTGGGAGCGGTGTTATCTTTTATAATATTTAAATTCCAGGGTAACTTAGTTATTGCTTTTTAACCCAGTCAGCCAAAACTTTCACTTCTTATCTTCCTCCTGCACTTTCTTTTCCGGTTGAGCGCTTCTTTGAGGTGGCCATTTCTGACCACCGCTCCTACCGCCTTCGGGAAAGGGAGTTTGACCAGCTGAGGAGGAGAGATGCGGCTCTCCTCGACCCTGCTGGCGATCTCCCCCCTCTTCACCACCTCTACGGGGTGGCTTAGCCCTGAAACCAGCCGGCTCGGGGCGCTCCAACGGCGAGCCCAGGCAGAAACCACGCACGATCGCAGATTCCTGCCTGTCGCCGAAGCCCTTCAAACCAGAAGTCGACTGTTCCCTGACTTCTGATGCTCTGTTGAAAATCTCTTTCTCTTGGGGGAGGGCTCTTCACTGCATGCCTGAAAGCATTGTCTTTCTGATTCACTCAATCCTTCGTTCACACAAAGAACAGGCTGAAAAGGCTGGTCTTCAGCGCCCTCTAGTGTTGTGCTCCTTTCCTGATACTTTGCTTTCATTGGTTTGCCTGTTGGAGCATGGGAATTTCCATTCTTCTCCGCCTCCTTTTCCGCCCTTGGGAAGCATTTCTCAATGGCCCTTTGTTTCCTTAATGCCTCCCTCTCATCTGCCTTGGACACCCTACTGAGAGGCCTTTCTGAAGCTCTCCCAGCTCTCCTTTGCGCTTTGCTGTCTGCTCAAACTGGGGGCAGGGGATTCCTGTTCCTCTAGGCTTGCCTCTGTTTCAGAAAATTCAGCCATAGTCTTTCCCTTTGGCTTTTGCTGATAGAGTATACTCAGACCAGCCTGAGCATGGACTCTAGCCTCCCTTTCTCCTGGGTAGGATTGTGTGACTGTGTTGGAAGCTTGCTCAGCCTAAGACTGAGTTTGCCCCCAATTAAAGAGAGCGCTGGAGGTTTGTGCGGCTTCTGGTTTGTTTAACAAAGGCTCTGGGAAAGCTGAGTTAATTTGCCCTCCTTCTTTGCTAGCCAATCGAGAGCCTGCCCGCTCTGAGGCTGCTGCCGCTTATTCTCTTAACACCAAACAGCTATGTGGGCTTTCCCGTCTTGGGATGAGGTCCCGGCTCTTTCACTTACTCAAGGTTTGCTGACTTTCACTCTTTCTCTTTTCTTTTTTTCCTTGAAGAATCCAAAGCGTTGATCCTATATTTTCTGTCTTTCTTTCTGAGCACTCTCTCCTCGTGTCCTCTTTGCATGAAGATGGAGTCAAAAACTGGGCATGTGCAGTGGAAAGGGGACTGGACTAAACTTTGATTGACTCCATCTTTAAGCAAGGAAGCAGGAGACAGCCCACGCTTTGGATTCTCCAATCCGTACAACTGAGAAAATTAACTTCACTTTCAATATTTGAAGATGCAATTTTTTTACCGTAATTGGATCCCATTTGAGGGTTATTTAAATATTTGGAAAAATTCACAACTTTCTATGCATAATTTTCTCATTTTTCCTAACATTAACTAACTCATATATGAACAATTCAGGAATATGGAATGTATATTTTTGCAGATTGTCCCCACCCACCTCCCTCTCTTTTCTCTCCCCCCCCCCCCAAAAAAAATTAATTAAGGAACATTTGCCAGATAGTCAGTTGAATCTATGCAGTGAAGGAACATGTGCAGACACTTCCAAATTGCAACTTAAGTAGTTTCAGATGGGAAGGGGTGTTGGTACTTACCTGATACGCCCTTTCTGTGAGCTGCGACGAGCATCCAGAGAGTGGGAGGTGCTTAGTCTCTGCTCAGATAGGCTGGGCTTAATTGAATAGGATGCTGTTACTCCTCCCTGGCTCCTCCCTAGCATCCCCCAGTTTTGGCGAAGACGAGGTGATGCAACCCTCATCCTCTATATTGGTCTGTTTGTGTGTGTGTTTTTTAAACTTATATCCAGATTAGTCGTTGGCCAGAACAGGACCCCACCAGACAGATATTGGGTGGGGCTGGATGCTCGTCGCAAGCTCACCGAGAACGGGCGTATCAGGTAAGTACCAACGCCCCTTCTCCATTGAGCTGCTCCGAGCATCCAGAGAGTGGGACATACCAAAGCTTGGCTTGTCCTATGGGAGGGTCTCCGTCTGGGTTGGAGCCCCCCCATTGTCCAAGTGGACTCATTGTAACACCCTCCTATAAAAAGAGGCTTCAGCAGAAGCAAATACATCAATTTTGTAATGCCTAATGAAAGGCAATGGGGAAACCCATGTTGCCGCTCTACATATTTCTGCAATAGGAGCTTGCGTGGCCCAGGCCGCTGAAGTTGCCGTGCTCCTTGTTGAGTGGGCCATGATGCCCCTAGGCACATGATTGAGTCTCGTATGCCTCGGCTATCGTAGCCTTCAGCCACCTGCCTATAGTCGAAGGGGAAACTTTCTGCCCCTGAGAGGTTGGCTGAAAGGATACGAAAAGAGCTTCAGTTTTTCTGAAAGGAGCCGTTCTATGTAAGTAAGTACGGAGAGCTCTGCAGTCGGTGTCATTGATGCTCTAGGCCCTGAGAAGGTCTGGGGCAAAAGTTAGGGAGAACTAGTTCTTGTGACCTGTGGAAGGCAGAATTGACTTTAGGCGTGAATGTGGGGTTTGGTCGAAGCACCACTCTGTCAGCGTGGAATATACAGAGGTCCTTTCGAGCCGATAGGCCTGCAATTTCTGATATACGACGTGCTGATGTTATAGCCATGAGGAAAACAACCTTGTATGTGAGAAAATGGAAGCTAACAGTTTTCAGGGGTTCAAATGGACTCTTCATGAGTGCTATGAGTACCTTGTTAAGGTCCCAGGTGGGGTAATGATGCACCACTGGCGGACACAAATTTGTGGTGCCCCTAAGAAAACTCTTTATCCATGGGTGATGGGAGATAGATGGTAGACCTTCCCAAGACACCACTGAGGCAATGGCTGCCACTTGTCATCTTAAAGTGTTTGGAGAGAGGCCCTTGTCAAGACCATCTTGGAGAAACTCTAAAACTTGTGCAATTGACGGCAAAAATGGGTCCCCCTGGATTTGGTGCACCATTTGAAGAAGATAGTCCATGTGGCATTATATATGCGGCTCAGAGAAGGGCGCTGAGCCGCTTGAATGGTATTGATCACCCTGGCCGAAAAATTCTCCTTTCTTAGAAATTGCCGCTCAACCTCCAAATGGCTAGGTGGAGCCATTGAGGGTCCGGGTGTTGGATCGGTCCTTGGGTGAGCTGAATTTTGTGAGGTGGAATTTTCCACAGTTCTTCTGTGGACAGGCCCCTGAGATCTCCAAACCACGGCCTCCTGGGCCAGTAGGGTGCCACCAAGATCAGGTCCGCTTTCTTGTCCAGTAGTTTTTGTACCACTTTGGGTATCAATGGGAGAGGGGGGAAGGCATATAGGAGACTCCAGGGCCACCGGCTCTGGAGGGCATTGATGTTCTCCATCCCCCGGGATGGGTATCTTGAAAAAAATCTCAGGAGCTGCGAGTTCAGGGGAGAAGCGAACAGGCAGACCAAATCTCTGGACTGCCTCCTGAAACAGGTCTGGATGCAGACATCATTCTGATTGGTCGATCGTGGCCCTGCTTAGCCAGTCTGCCTGTGTGTTTGTCAGGCCGGAAATATGCTCTGCTCTGATAGAGGCTAAGTTCCTTTCTGCCCAAAGGCACAGTCTCTCTGCTTCCCACATGAGATGTTTTGAGTGGGTCTCCCCTTGTCTGTTGATATGTGCTTTTGTCGTGATATTGTCTGTCAATATTAGTATGTGTCTCCTTTGAATATGTGGGAGGAAACTGTGAAGGGCCAGGTGGACTGCCCTGAGCTCCAACCAATTTATGCTGTTCGATTGCTCTGCAGTTGACCAACACCCTTGAGCCAAGAGTGAAAATGAGCTCCCCATCTGAACAGGCTGGCATCTGTGGATTGCAAGCTCCATCCATGCCTTCATAGTTTCTGGTACGTCATCTGGCAGGAACTCCTCCTGTCGTAGGCAGCCACTGTTGGAGTGAAGGTCGCCTCGGAGGCTCACCTCGGGATATTTACACTTGGTAAGGCCTGTAAGGTGCTCGCCGGCCTGGGTGGCATGGACAGGTCTAAGGCTACTGGTGGCTGTTGAGTCTGAGATAGTGGAACTGGGGGAGGAGGCTGGGAAGTTCTTTCAGCCTCCTTAGAGTGTTTCTCAATTTGCTTTTCCAATGCCTTCTGGCGTCGGGTAGCATCTTTCTCTGCGACCTTCGAAGGACCTTTAGATTTCTTGGACTTATCTAGGGCCCGTGTCTTAGCACCACCTCTGTTTGCCATTGCAATTCTGTAGTTGCTCTGATTATAAGTTAATCTGTAGTAGAGTATGAATAACAATATATTGAAATATATAATATATATATACATATCTGTGAGTATATCTATATGTGGACGGTTGGCGCATCCAGGGTCCTGCACCACCACAAGGGCAAGAGACCATATCACTACTTTCACTCCCCTTTTTTAATTATCTGATTTTATGTTAATGAATTTTAATGTTTTGCAATAAAAAAATATTATTTACAAATGGTCTAATTTGATAATGCTCAATGCCAGGTCAATTCAAAGAAAGAAAACAACAACAGACCTTCAACAGCTGACTGAGCAGGCTAATCTGGCCTGATACTGCTAAATAGTTCAAATATATGTGTGTGCATGTGCGTGTATGTATGTATGTATGATGTATGTATATATATATGTGTGTGTGTGTGTGTGTGTGTGTGTGTGTGTGTGTATATTTGGTATTCATCTTTGTTCGGATATTTTCCCACGTCATTGTAGTTGTGCTTTTAAAGTTGTAGCAACGTTTTGGCAGAATCTCATCTGTTTGTCTGGCTAGTGGTGTGGAGATTTTTTTGTTTGTGAGTGCAGGCTTCCAAATGATTGACAGTCTGGTGGAATCATCTCTTCTATTCATGCTTTCAGGTCTTTTTTCAATCTATATGGCTTCTCTGATGATTCTGTGGCTGGGGTTTTCTATAGTGGCTAGGGTTTTGGTGCCATTGAAGTTCATGCTATGACCTATGGCTTTCATTTGGAATCATTTGGAAGCCTGCACTCACAAACAAAAAAATCTCCACACCACTAGCCAGACAAACACCTGGGCACAAACAGATCCCCCCTGATACATCCAGCTCAAACACACCCCAACCAGGCACCCAGATGAAACCTAGCTTCCTAACAAATGATAGCCGTCCATTTACTCGGAGCCAAGCTGCACTAAAGGCCTCCAATAAAGAAACACAAATGTTGCCAGCCAATCAAGACACAAAAAGAGCCACAAAACAGACAGAAGATACTAGAAACACCAATCAAGCAGAACACAGCAAACTCCAAGACCAATAAATACAGACCAAGACTCCCAACCAATCAGGATGAAGAAAAAACTATTCTGGCACAGCAGTAGGCTGCCCCAAATTTAAAACTGAAATGGCTGTGATAGTCTGACTCACAGACGAACACAATACAGAAGCCTGATGATGGCAGATGAGATTCTGCCGAAATGTTGCTACAACTTTAAAAGCACAACTACAATCACGTGGGAAAATACCCAAACAAAGCTGAATACCATACATGTAAGTACCCGCGAAAACTTAAGAAAACATATATATATTTGTTTGTTCACTGTGAGGGCAGCCAACAATCTCTACTTATACCCCCCCCCAAAACCGGAGTAAAGGGAGCTGCAAATTTTAATTCTCCTTTATAAGCTGCGTTAAGCTTTGAAGAAATTAAAGCTCCTCACAGGAAAAGTAAAATTCAGGAATACGGCCACACAATGCAATGTGGATTAAATGGTGAAATCCTGCAAATTGCGTGCCAAGATGACCGTTGCCCGACTCTAAAATGGCGCCAGCCAGTTGTTTTGGTCACACAGTTGTTTTAAAAGGGCACAAAAAAAAAGGATACTGTGCAACTGAACGATAAAGAGGGGACCAGGAGGGCTCTACCGCCCCCACCCCTGTAAATCCTAGGGGAGGAAACACCACTGGCAAAAGGTAATTAGGAACCGAATGAGCGCGCTATCTTAAAAGCGGTTCAAATTTCGAAGCGCAATGGCAGGACAGAAAATATTCAAAGAGTAGCAAACTGCGATCTCTGGGGAAAGTGCGGCTACCGAAAACACAAAGCAAATTACGATTGCTGTGGGCGGCAATTGGCCCGATCGCCAAAGCGATCTGCTTTGTTCCGACTGCTTCCCCCCCCCCTTTTTTTTTTTACCAAATTGCTGTCAGAATTGAGAAAGATGGTCAAAGAATTTCGAATACTGACTATCTAATCAAAGCTGAAATGTTCCTGCTCCAGCCAAGGATAAGCTGCCTATCACACCAAAGGCTGAGCTAAAACTGGGGGACGCTAGGGAGGAGCCAGGGAGGAGTAACAGTATCCTATTCCATTAAGCCCAGCCTATCCGAGCAAAGACTAAGCACCTCCTATTCTCTGGATGCTTGGAGCAGCTCAATGAAGAACAAAATCATCAACTTGTTACCAATTCTTTGATTTCTGAGAAAAGCCAGCTCAAAGGTCATTTGCAAAATATTTGAATATTTTCCTCCAGTTTGGGGACAGGCTCAGAAAGCAACCACTCTGTCCCTCCTGAGTTAGTAGAGCTGGCTCCAGCCATTATGTGTCCTGAAGAACATGAAGATTTTAGTATTGTTCTTAATAATATTTTAACTTTGTATTGTTTTCATCTTTTAACTGTTTTTTTAATTGTCTTATAACCTGTAAGCTGTCCAGAGTCACCTTGTAAGGAGCTGGTGGCATAAATGTTAAATGAATAATTCTTCTCTTCCCAGATCTTTTGAATATAGCATATTGTTTCCATAGCTTTTTTTTTCCAGTCCAGTTGTGTTTTATAAATTTATTTTGGTTTGTTTTAGTTGTGTAATGATTTTATATTATCTCCCTGACTGCAAGTCATCTGAGGTCTTTGACTAGGATTATAACAAACAAAATAAAAATAACTTATTGTACTAACTGGCAAAATTAGTGCAATTTTTCTCCCTGGAGTATTTCTGTTCATTCCCCCCCCCCCCCCCCCCAAAAAAAAAAACCACTTACCTACTATCACACCAACTTTCCAAGAAAAATCTGCAGGCTAATTCATAAAATTTATCGTCCTTAACTTATCATTTTCTAAACAACTCAGGGCTGCAATCAAACAATTCCCATCTAGCTGGCTTCCTAAAAATTCTCGAAGTTGCAATCCCAGAACATGTGGAAGATGTCCGGTTGGAAAGGCTGATATAAATCAAAACCATCACCCTCATTTTTAATGTATGTGGCATTTTTTTCAAGAGAAGTTCATTATAAAAGAAGAGCAGACAAGAGAATATCACTGGAATATATTTTATTTTGAAATATAGTACAACAAACTACTCATTTAAAAAAAAACTTAGCATCATAGCATTATTCATCTAATAGACAATATCAGTCATCACCACACAGAGCCAATTGCGCTTGTTTATGAATAATACAGAACCAAAAATCAAATATGCTCTAACTTTCCAATGTTGTGAGATATTAATAAGTAATATAAACAACAGTCAGTTCCTGAACAGTGGCAGGTGCAGGAACCAAGATCCAAATTTTATGCAGCAAATAACATTGGCCCCTATCCCCTCATTTTATTTTAGTTCTTCAAATAAAGAAACCAAAGGGAACTGAGCTGAAAGTTTAATCTATTCCCTCTTGGCACGAAGTATTCCTGCTTTAATTGTTACTACTGCTACACATAATAATTTCTTTATTTGCAAGTTTGGCTCTCCTGATGCAATAATTCCCAATGTGTGGAATAGCATCAGAAAATTCCACTTCCACTAATAAAAAAACAAACAAAACCCCAGGTTAGATAACACTGTAAATTACGCATTTGGCCATAACTTATAAGAACTGTCTTTGAATCTTCAGGAAGACAGTGAGAATAGTAAAAATAGCAGCAGCAGCAGCAACTACTTCAAAAATTTTGTGGGAGAGGAGACCATTAAGATTGAAAATAAGAGATATGTCCCTCCAGATGTTTCTAAAACCCAATTCTCAGGATCTGTATCCAGCAAGGCTGTGCTGTGAGCTGTAGTTTAGCTAGTTTTTGCCAGTTTTGGTCTAGGCAACGGGCTAGAAACCAGGAGAGTGTGAGTTCTAGTCCCTCTTTGATATAAAAGCCTGGGTGACTTTGGATCAGTCGTTCTCTCTCAGCCCAACCCACCGCACAGAATTATTGTTGTAGGGAAAATAGGAAGAGGAAGGAATATTAGTTGTTTGACATCTTGAATTACTTATAAAAGATAATAAAGGCAGGGAAAACCAAAGTAACAAATGCCTGGAGGCTCACATGTGGCCTATTTTGCATAATGCTTATAATTGCAAAATTAAAAATATGAAACTTACAGAATATAACATCAACTCATAATATGGGATTATTATACACTGGTGTAATTTCTAAAGGCTGATCAGTGATTTTTCATCTCAGAACTGACACATGAACTGTAACATGACATGGTGTAAGGCTGCTACCCTTGTTATGGCCAATCATGTGAATAACTCTGTCATTGTCCAACAATATAATGATAGCAAGCCTTTGCACTCTTGAAAATACTGGTTCTACTGATAATCAAGTTATTAACAGTTTCTTGCCTTCCTCAGCAAGCACATTGCTAACACTTCAGGATTCATAAGCTCGTAAATTCCCCCCAGGCAAACTATGGAAATTACAGCATCTAACAGCTCTTCCCATAGGTTGAAAAGACTCCAGTCTGCTCCATTTGCAGTGTTTGAGGGGTAGGCAAGCCTACAGTGAATCAGTTTTGCCGAGACTTTAAAAGACTGGCAAGAACTTAAAAGAATATACAAGGGTATATAGTATACTTATTAGGATGTAGTTAATTCCAAATTGATGCAGTTGGGTATATATACATACACACAAACACAACTTAACATAGCCAGGAAAGCATACTTAAATTATTCATAAGGAATACTGTTCTTTGCAGTACAATCATATTATTTATTTTTATAATATTTTATTCTCCAGAAAGAATTTCTTATTTGCAAGCAAACCATATTCAATTTAATGGCAATGGTAGGCAGGTGAGTGTCTGATGACAGTCTCAGTTGATGAATCAGGGAGGAGTGCCTTTATCTAGTGATTATACATATTAATTAATTAGTGGAGCTAAAGGTAATTAATTGAATATTTTATCTGTCATTGCCTCACAATAGTTTGCAAACAGGTGAGTTAACCTTATTGGTCCTCTCTCTTCCTCAAAGTAATTTCCCAATACAATATGCTATTGAAATAAGTTTCCATATCTGGGATCCAAAGCTCCAAAGAGTTAGATAGCTCTTTTTCACTTTATTTCTGTATGCATTTTTATTTCTTCAATTTCTAAAACTGCCCATCTCAAATAAGTGACTCTGGGCTGGCAAGCAATCATGAAATCACTCTTTGCTGCTATCAAATGGTTGTCTTAATTTTTGAAATCCCAATAAGGCATGCCTATGTTATCACAATAAGAAATGAAAAAGTAAATATTTAAGATGGCAAAGAAAAGCTATTACAGATTCTAAAGGAAACATTGTCCCCCATGAAAAGCAATGAGCAACAGAAGGGGTACAGAACTGATAGTGAACTCAACAGATGAAGCCTGCTGATACCAGTGCCCTTCCCATGTAAGACTACCAATTACATTTCAACCTCTATGTCATTCAGTATGTCTGATAATAATACTGATTTAGCATGGTTTAAGTTGAATCAATAATTAGACAGTAAAAGATCAGATGATTAATTCAAATAAACCTTAACTTATCAGGAACAGAATTAACCATAGCAGTTAGACTTATATACAGCTCCACAGTGCTTTACACACTCTCTGAGTGATTTACAATGTCTGCATATTTAGGTCCTCATTTTACCGACCTCAGAACGATGGAAGGCTGAGTCAACCTTCAGCCGGTCAGGATCGAACTCCAGGCAATCAGCAGAATTACCCTGCAATACTGTATTCTAACCATAGTGCCACCACAGCTCAAGGTTAAGATCTTTCTTACACTTTTCTTAATCTAATGGTTAATATCATTCAACCCTTTCTCTACAACCAGGCCTTTAAAGTTTTACTAGTTATAATTTTTGTTATTTTATGAGCCGTGGTGGCGCAGTGATTAGAGTGCGGTACTGCAGGCTACTTCTGCTGACTGCTGATTGCCTGCAATTTGGCACTTCAAATCTCACCAGGCTCAAGGTTGATTCAGCCTTCCATTCTTCTGAGGTGGGTAAAATGAACACCCAGATTGTTGGGGGCAAGATGCCGACTCTGTAAAGCACTGAAAAGCAATATTGTTGCTATTGTTGTACTGTTGCTATTGCTATTTTATAACTTTCTAATTTGGTGTACTTATGTTCATACCATTAACAGTAAGTTGATACACTGAAATAATACATTAATAAATATTTCATACAACATAAATTAACACATATTTCTAAAATAGGATTCTTAGCTTTAAACTTCGAATGTGAAACAGAAGCCCACAGTCTGGGATGTGCTCTACCAGTGAAGAGGTGCAATTCTATATATAGCTATCTAATGCAATTATTATTCAAGTATGTAGGTATATATATTTCTAATGGATTTATATTAGTATCATGTTTTAATGTATTTTGAACAAAATATTCTAATATTTCATTATATTTGCACATTCAAAATCTACATCTACAGGCAGCCTGCTCATAAATGGCAGGTCCTCAATCCATTGAATGAAAGGGATGTACGTTCATGTATCTTTCCAATGCTGTATCATCAGTCTTTTGATCATAATAAGGGCATGGAGAATAGACTTAATAGCCAAATTAAAAGTACAAAGTATGTACTTCAAAAGAATGTTGTCATCTGAAAATTTTAACTTTTGTTGCACAGTTGTATTTATATAAACTAGTACTTTTTCCAAAAAATTAGTAAGTGTAAGACAGTGTAAAAACATAGTTTAGATAAGCATTATTCTTATTATATATCCAACAAAATGCTGCTTTTAACAGTCATTTTCTATACAAGCAAAACAGAATGCCAATATATTTTAAATATTATTTTGATTCTGTGAGTCTACTGATACTCTTTTTCTGAAAGTTAAAACAGTCTATCATTATCTAAGCAATACAGGAACCTCTGATTCTTTATTCTACTCATTTCTTAATATCAGCCCAGTAAATTTATTTATTAATAATTAATATCCATAGAAACTAATAGTAGGCTTTCAGTTTTAAAGGATGTAACAGGTTGTTGATAAATCTTTTTTTCTTTGTTGTTTCTTTTAAAAAAGTACTTTCTTTGTGTGTGTTTTTCATTGCACTGTATGTATATTTATATTTATAAGGTTTTTGTAATTATTTTAAAAATAATGAGTTTTAAAAAATGATCTAGCAGTGAATGTTGTTGGCCAAAGGATAATCAAAACAAAGATGAAGTAGCTAAAGAATCTTTGTTTTCCTAGTTGGGAAAACAAATTAAAAAACTGATCCAAATTCTAGATGAGTCAGTTCCATCCTAATCAAATTCCTCCCTCCTTCCTCCTCTCTTTGCCATAATTTTCTAAAACAATATTTATCTGAATGCAAAATTGGAAAATATGTCTACACTAAGAAAAAAAAAAAAGACTTTCTCCTCAAACAAATTTAATAAATATTCTTCACAGTGGTTTCAAGATTAGGTTTGTGATAAGAACAAAAAACGGTTTCCTCTCTTTTTTTTTTTTAAATGTGCCTTTAGGTCAGTCTTGACTTCTGGCAACTGGAAGCAATTTTTTTCTCAGTAGTGGTTTGCCCTTGCCTCCTTCATAAGGCTGAGATGGAGTGGCTGGCCCAACTAGCAGCTAGTCTCCTCATTTCTAGCCTGGTGCCTGAACAATATACCAAACTTTCAACAGTAAATTAGGGCTATTACATTTTGATAATCATCCTGACAATAACTATAAATTCAAAGCTTCTTTTGAAGCCAGTCCAAATTATTTTAATGTAGCTCCCAGCAGCATTCGATTCTGGGTATGAATTTCCTTGTAACACTATAGTGTATATTAAAAACATTTGGTGCATTAAAAGCATTTGGGTATACATTTAAATCATTAAAAAAACAATTTAAAACAAAAAATATTCTCAGCATGTTTTCTTTTTCTTTTTTTGTACTCCATAGTAGAACTACACCATTGCATTGGCAAGTACAGTACACCAACAGCTGAAGCTAACAAAAATACTATCTCTTGGTTAGGCATTTAGCTGTGCTCCTCTGTAAAGGAAACAGCTGCTTTTCTCAAAACCAGACAACAACATCAGTTGCACTTAAAAAAAAAAAAAAGGAGGCAACAACATCAGTTGCACTTAAAAAAAAAAAGGAGGCAGTGAGAGCAGTGTGACACTTACGTATTTGTTTTTGGCCCCGTGAATTTTTTGCATTCAGTACTTACACAAGGTTGGAAAACCTATCCCAGAGCAACCCATCATAAAACCATAGACTTTATTTTAGTAATAAATTCACAATCGCAAACATGGATACAGTGTTAAGAAGAAGGCAGTAACTGCTTTGTCTTTAATTTGCAGAACAGTTACCTATATCTCTCAGCCCAATCTGTCACTACACCATTCCTGGCATCTCAGCCCAGCTAGGTGTCTACCATATATTGAGAATTAGGTTTTCATATTTCTAGAGGGAAATGTAGCTCAATCCATTGGACTTTAAAGACTGTCTGCTGCTTTATTTGTAGTATATGCCTTGTGTATAATATCTGGCATTAGACAAATAATGCAATGCCGAGGAATTGGACAGAAGGGTAGTCCCATAACAGATTTGCTGGATTGAATCTACAGCTAAACAGATTTATCACCCTGACCAAAACTGATTCAATTATTTTTCTATAGGTACTCTTTATTGCTAGCCTGGAAGAGTCTTTATAAAGTTAGCAGAAAAATTATATTTTAATATGGAAACCACTTTCAGGAACACCTTCATTTCATAGCAAGCAGGATGAGCCCTAGTTGTATTTTAATATAAGAATAAATCTAAGACATAATGTTTAGTTCTTTCCTCCTAATTACAATCTCCTGAAACCCCTTCCTTAAGGGTTTCCATCCTATTTGGAATGATTACATCTTCTCTATCAACAAGAAGTCTTGGAATTAATAATCTTATCAAGAAATCTGTACATTGTGTATTTCCAAGCACCACTCAAATATGAGATGTATTTTCAAATGGATGTACCTTATTTTAACATTTAGTATTATCTTGAGTTATTCTTAAAGATCCTTGCTTAAAATTTTGTGAGATACTTTCAGATTAACATTCCAATGCAAGTCAATTAAAACAAAGAACCAAAATAAATAAATAAACTTTTCCTTGGCATATCATATATTTACAGTTAGAAGAGGCGTACTATAAATGAGATGAGAATAACAATTATAGTCAAGCCAGCATATTTCTTACTAGTTAACATGAGATTCCCACATGAACTTCAATACATGCTGTATCCAAACCGAGATCAGCAACAATTACTTTCAAACATATTTTGCACAGACCGCTGTCAAATAATTTTTATGGTTTCTCTGACACAAAAGCTTCTCTGAGTTGCTTATAGTAAGGAACAAAAACATTAAAATAGAATAATCATTTAAATTCCAGTAAGTAAAAACTTTATGCAAAGTAAAATAAACAGTACATAGTGTTCTTCAATTGAAGATGTCTCCTACAAATCTAAATAATAACTAGAATAGGCCAATAAAAAGAAATACATTGGTTATCTTTCAATATTTCTAATAATCAAATATAAGATTGTTTTATATCTGTAATTCAAACCAGGTAACTGGGTATACCTGAAAAAAATATCAGAGATCATTATCTGCTAAACAATTATATAATACAAATACTAATTACAACAAAATGTATTAAACTAAAATATTCAGTCATTTCAAAAGTTATTTCTAACCAGGCAAGCCACTAGAATTGTACTTCTTTCTCCTTACTAGCACTTATGATTTTACCTGGTCTGGGTAATGAAATGTACGCAAGAAAACAAGCAAACTCAGAGAGCGCCAAGGACCTTTCATGTCAACCCTGAGCTACAAATATTCTCCTTTAAAGTTTTCAATTTTCAATAACACAAATAATTTCTTTCAAAAGCAATGTATATCTATATCACAGAAACTCTTGTTTAGAATAAAATTATTTCTGCATATAAGTGTCTATGGAGATTATCAGTCATCCATATCATGGTTGTCCCAGAGGTGCTTTTTCCAAGAGGCAGCTGGACTTTCTTGTTTTTCTTTGAAGATGTTTTGCTTCTCATCCAAGAAGCTTCTTTAGCTCTGGCTGGATGGCAGGGAATGGAAAGATTTATACTCCTTGCCAACAGCTGGTCATTTGCATTCTTTTAGAGAGTCGTTGAGTCCACTTGAAGGTTTATCTGCTTATAAAATGAATACCTTCCTGATCAGTCCTCATTTTTACCTGACATGGAAAACAGTTATCAAATGGAAGGAAAGCTGGCCTCCCTACAGGATCGAGTACATAATTTAAGCTAAGAAAATTTAAAAAAGAAAATAGAAGAGGCAGATTTTGTTAATGGCTGTGTAAATTACCAAGAAACAAAGGCCAATTTCACAAATAATTTTAATATTTAATAAATATCTCCATCACATATTAAACTCTTCATGAACCTGATTTCATTGGACTATTCTACAGTTTTGTGGTACACTGTTTTATTTACAAATGGAGAGGTGGAGCAGAGTTAATCAAAATTACAGAATCACTTTGCCAAAATAACAGCACACCACTGCAGGTCTCTAAGGCAGGACTAAGTCATTAAAAAAATCCATAAATATTTGAAATGTTACATGAAAGAGGTGAGTTGTGCTGTCTTGCCTTACAATAGTTAGAAATGGCGATTCTGGAGTATGAAGAACAACAAGTGGCAGAAGGGGAGGAGTTGATTAAAGAAGAAGCCATCTACAATGAACAATTGGAGCAACGAATATTAAAGTGAAGGGGAAAAAGAATGGGAATTAAAACTTGGAGATTTGAGGAGGCAATTAAAAAGGGGGATGTTTGGAAACCAAACAAAGTAAAAGGAAACAGCAGAAAAGGGAATTACAGAAGAAAGCTTTAAAGAGGGAGAGGGATAAAAACTGGAGCAAGAAAAGGAGGGGAAAAATGAAGGAAAAAAGAATAAGAAAAAGAACCAGGAAGTAAAGAGATATGGAAATCGAACAAAAATGAAAAGAAATTGTTTATTTAAAAGACATAGAAATAATGGATAAGGATTAAGAAAGGGTAATGTGGTATATTATAAATGTATTTGAAGTAATAAATTACTTAGAAGGTAGGAAAATATAAATTTTTAAAATGAAGATTGGAATTGATGTTTTCTTGTTATTAGAATACTTGTTTTTTGTTAAATTATACATAGAGATAAATGGAATAAATGTGAAAAAGAGAAACTATGATAAGTGTATTAACTATGTTTAATGAATTCAAGAATATAGTTGAAATTAATTATGAGGATTGTTGTAAAAAAATTAACATCAGTTTTTATGATCAATTGAATAGATTAACTTAATTGAAATTATTAATGATTTGATGTAACTGAAGGGGAAAGTACTATGCAGAATCCGGCCTAAAATGCATATGTGTTACGTAGTTGTTAGGAGATCATTGTTATTAATTTTTTTAGGTGATAATTAAAACATCAATTATTATTGGGAATTAAAGAGGAGTCAATTAAATGATATATAAGGTAAAGGGGTGGTACAGTCAAATTGGTAATTGTGGGGAAAAATTTTTTGAATTGTTTGAATTGGGATGGAATTTTTGAAATGATGAAATAAGAATATGAAAGGAAATTGCAAACCTGACAGATAAAAGTATAAAGTATAATGAATATGAAGATATGAGAATTATTTAAAGTAAAAATAAATAGGTTAAGAAATGAATAGAAAATATATAAAATAAGTCTGAGAAAAGTATTTGAGAAAATTTATAGAAAATGTGTAATGTAATGATAGGATATGAAATCAAATGTGAAAGATGAATATGTAACCAAGGTCATGTTTGTATGGAAATGTGAAAACCTGGAATTATGCTGTTCACTAAAAAATATGTTTTTGAAATGTGAAAAAATAAAAAACTTTTTACAAAAAAAGATGTGCATTTGGACTAGCTCTGGTATAACAGATGTTCTTATTTTTTCATCAAGCTCCTCATATCCTGTCACAGACAAGTGGATTAGAATTTACATTTAGAAAAACACATTGTGCCATTTCAAGGAGAAGTGCCACTTAAAAACTAAAACACCACAATACCACAGACTTCCTGATACACCATTCAGGGAGATAGCTTATATATCAAACATCTCCCTCTATACTAAGTTTCACTTGCAAAGAAGTTTTCCCATAATAAAACATAAGATATTTGACACTGCAGATGTGTATAGGATGCCCAGGAAGATTAGCAACTGTGGTGGTGGGGCTTTTTAGGTGGGGCTCATTTATTTTTGTTTCCCACTTAGTGCTCAGTTGTCACCTGTGAATCAAGTAGCTGTAACATGTGCAGCAGCCACAATCCAATATATTATCTCAGCAGACAGCCCAAACCATGTGAGCATGGCCAATAGGTCTTTGAACTTTAGGGAAGCTGGAGATCTTCTATCCTAGGCTGTGAAGTCAGGTCCTGGCACACTAAGCAGAGAATACTGACAATGCAACAGTCAAAAAGGCAGGTCCAATCAACTGAGTACATAAAATGACCCAATCTATTGCATCATGTCAATATTATGCTACCTTGTTCACATCTCATTGTATTCCAAGCACAGAGGGCAGAGCTATTGCACTACACAAGGGTTTGTGTCCAGAATGACTTCATTAGGACACACCAATATCCCGGAAGTCTACATCAGGTGAAATGGAAACAAATGCATTTTAAAGACAATGGGCTAAGAAACACATTTTGTGTCTCTTAGCAGTACAAATTGTTACTGTTTATTGAATAAAGGAAATGTTGTACCCTATTCTGTACCTGAACTTCTCTTCTTAAAAATAAAATTAAAAATAGAGGCAAAGGCAAAAAGGAACTATCTTAATGAAATGTTGCATCCTTAACATATTGTCTTTTTTTTTTCTTTTTATCAAACCAAACTGAATTTTTAAAGTAAGGTCTTCCGGTTACACTCTAGAATTAGATTTTTTTTAAAGTCCATAGAAAAGAGAACAAGGGACAATCAATTCAAATTCTGCTGAGCACATTATTATAACAGCAACACGAAGAAAGGAAGTAAGGAAGAAAACACAGTTCTCCCTTCCATAATTGTCTTCTAATCCTCAGCTAGCAATCTGCTACAATTTTAAAAGGTATATGGTAACAAAGATAATCTTCTGCAAGTATTGTCTATTGCTAGATCTTGTCACTTCTGTTCTGTTCACCAGGCAGAAAAAATACAGGATCCAAATTTCTAGCAGTAGGGCTACTGTACATACAGTATTAGCACTTGGGTTGGCCCAGCTGATCACTTTTCTAAGTTTTGTAGGGTTTTTTTAAGAGTCTGTGAAGTAAAGAGGGGGAAAGTGCCTTGGGATTACTCAGTGATAACCAGAACTCACTGGGATAATATAGCCACAAAAACATTTTATTATTACAATTATATCGTTAAAGCTAATGGTGCTACAGCTTAGTGTGATCAGAAGTTTAGTCTTCTTAATCCCAGACCAACACTTTAATCACAACATTGCATTTAAATTTTCTTTCTTTTTTTCATTTAAGTAATGATGGAATGCTATCCTAAGAAGGAGTTATATCCTAGGGAAAAAAGAAAGGTTTCCAATATGGCTTCTTAGATACTACTCCATTTCTTTAGTGCCAGAAACCAAAAAATCAAGGTAGATGTTGTCCATTGACTTTATTTGGAATCATTATATGATGTTCTAAGGGTTTCTCCAAAAGCTCCACAATCTGAAGTACTATTATATAATTCAACTGATAATTTACTAAATATTTCCTTTAATATCTTCTGAAATACCTTGGTGATAATTCATACTAACTTGCAGACAGCAGTAGGACTCCAAAATCATTGTTAAAAGGTAATAGTCTGCAAAAATATAACTTTAGTTACAGAATTAAACAGTTAGAAAAGTAGTTATGAAATATGTATGAATAATTCTATATAATTCTATATAATCTTATCTATTTAGATAACTATTAAACAAACTTATCTATATGACAATAATTCTATATGATAACCAACCCTTACTCAACATAACTTTCAACACTACTTACAAACCAATCATTTACCTATGACTACTACTTTAAGTTCCTCTTCCTTCTCTTCGTTCTAGTTCTTCTCATCCTTGCTCTCATTTACTTCTTAGCAACTTCACATTAGTTGCACATTTCCTTGATGTCAGTAATTCCTTCATGCACTTTCTTAACATTTCTCAAAAACAGACAAAATCTTTTACTTAATAAAAGAGGATACGTGTAATTCTTCTTCTGGTCTACTCATACACAGCAACTCATTAATATTTCAGATACACTCTTTTTTAGCTTATATGGAGATGCCAGGTTTGAAATGAGTCTTTATTGGGGAGGGGCATTATGTATGGTATTGTGTTCTATCACTAAACTGTACAATATTATTATTATTATTATTATTATTATTATTATTATTATTATTATTA